ATGTAAAATATAAAAGTGTCTTACATTTAACATAGATATTATGATATTAAAATAATTTGAATAGTGTGTGTGTTACAGATATAGAAACATAAATTATCCAAATGATAGTTCATGGAGTATTAAAATGATTATAATTTTTATAAATAAGATAATGTTCGTAAGGAAAAGAAATTTATTATAGCTCTGATTTATTAATGGCTTTTAAATTTCTTTTGTCGTGTCAAAGAAATAAATTAATAAGGAAAATGTAGTGCAAACTCTACTCAATTTTAATATAAATTTTTTATTTTTATTAATAAACATTAAATATGACTTATTAGTTGAATATTTTTTTTTTTAATATAAGCAACACTCCAAAATGTAATTTCCTTAATATTACGTATTAGCTTAAAATAAAAATATACATTCTATAGTAGTCTGAACATTATCTTTCAAAAAAAAAAAAAAAAAAAACTAATTTTTTTTCTTAAGATTACATTTTTTTTTTTATAATAGAAAAAATATCATCATAATATATATTTTTTTTTAATTGTAAATATCCACACAAAAAAATATTATTATTTATTTATTTTTTTTTAAGTGCACTCACATTAAGTGCAAGTAAATATATACATATATTTTTTGCTTACATACCTTTTGAATATCTATTTTAGAGAAGACATTTATGATAGCAGATTGTCCTTGCGAATTAGCATGCACAAAATAAAATGTTTTTATTCTATTTATTTGTGTAAATATTATACAAAGAAGGTCAATAGTATTGTTTATGGAGCTATGTATAACTGGTTAATAAAAGGCTTCATTAACCTTTTTAGTTATAAAAAGGATTATCTCTGTGAAGAATACGTAGTTGGTTTTGCTAACTAAAAGAAAAAAAGATATTTATTTTTTTTTTAAATGATATATTCAGAGAGGAAAAGAGAAAATTGGTAAAATAAAAATCGAGAGTATGAATTAGTACCAATAAAAATGAGATTTTAAAAAGATAATAATGTTTTCATAAAAGAGCTTAATTTACATAATATTTATATTTTGAATTTGTGAGAGAAAATTTTATACATATGACAATAAAATATTTGCGTAATTAATTTTCGCATAATTTATTTGAATTTTTACTAATTGTTTATGTTGGTTAATTCAACAGCAATATATTTAAATTTCTGAACATAACACATGAAAAAGAAATAAGTAATTCACATTTAATTAATAGTCGATATTCAATAAGGATTTAAATATTTAATAAAAATAGGGATTTTTATTAAAGTAAATAAATGCCTATGGAAATTAAAGAATGCTGAACGAAGTAGAGATCATAATTAAGGATCACTCGTTCAAAGCATTTAAAAATATATATAAATACAATAAAACCGTAGAGGTAACTCTACATGTTCGTTATTAATGTGTTTGTTAAGTATTCTAGTAAAGACACCGAACACCAAGTTAATAAAACAGTACTCTAGCAAAGTCAACAAACACCCAGTTAATAAATCAAGCACTCACATAACTAAGTATTTTCCGTATAAATATTTATTTTTATCCTCAACAAGGTTAATAAATTCTTTTATTAACAGAATATCTAATAAATCGTGTACTTTTCTTCAATTTATTTTAATTATTTGCTTGGAATTTACACAGCCCTGTATCATTTTCATTGTTTTGTAACTTATTAACAGTTGATTCACCTTTTCTAATTTTATAAATATTTTACTCTTGCTTTATTGTTTCGTATAATTCTTCATTTTTACCTATACTGTTAATTCTGTTTCTTTTTCTTACAAGTTCTTCATTTTTTTTTTTTCTAGACAATTTATTTACTTTAGTAAAAATCACTATATTTTTATTAAAAACATAAATGTTCATTAATTATTAGTTTTTAAGTACAAAAAATTTAATTACTATTTCTGACTATTAGTGTTTAAAAAATCAAGTCAATTCTTTAAAATAATAAAAATACATATTTAAATTATTACTGGAAAAAATGAGATTTTTATTTCAAAAATAGAACATTTAATTTTATTAAAATATTAAAAAAAAATTTTGAGAATTTTTTCTATAAAATTTACACCTACTCAAATTCAAAAAAATGATTAAATATTTATGTTAAGAAAAAAATATATATAAAAAACATCAACTATTTTTTATTTTTCACTTATGTTTTTTAATTAGCTTCTGCGTATGTATAAATGTATATTTTCCACATTGAAATTTTATCAGCAAAAAAGTTAATAAGTCCTTTTATTAACCACATATATATTATCTATTGCTATAAATGTTATTTTTACACTAGTATGATTATTTCATATACATTATTATAATAAAAATGAAATATATATTATTTATTTTTATAGAAATAACTATGATAATACGTGCATATAAATGATTATTTATGTATTTTTTAACCTTTGTGAATTGGTATATAATTGACTGCATTATCTAACTATTAATTTATTAATGTTAGAATTACCGAACAATAGTTATAAATAATTTTTTTTACTTTATGAACATTAACTTACTTTTAATAATTACAATAATTTTTACATTTAATGGACTGTTATTTGGATAATTTTCATTTTTAAATATACAATACATATATTATTTAAAAGATTTTAATACAATGAAGCAATATGTATAAATGTAAGATAATATTATATTTCACATATTGTTAGTTGAAAAAACTGCATTTATGTATTATATTAAAAAAATATAAATCATAAAAACTTACTTTTATTAAAAATACGACTATTTTTTAATGTAAAATATGTGTTAAAAAATTAAAAAGGTAGTATTTATGCATATACTTTTTTATTTATGTTATATCAAAGATTCATACAAATTAAATTAAAAAAATAAAAATTCTTAATAAAATTCTTTATCAATGCTTACAAAAATGTCTTATAGCATTTAGATATTTTAGAAGAAAGTGAAATTTGAAAGGGACAATTGCTGAACTTTTTTTTATTATATAAATTATTTGTTAATTGTTCATTCAGTGATCATGCTAATATGAAAAAAATAAATTAATAAAAAGCATGTAGAAAAAGCTCTATTCATTTAATCATTATCAGTTTATTCACTTTCATTATTTATATAAAATATTAAATGCATGAATTAATTAGTAATGTTGTTAGTTTACTCTATATCTCATGCATATCACATTTGATATTACATTCTTAATTTTTTATAAAAAAATAATATAATAAAATATATAAATATTTTTTTTAATAAATTATTCCTTTTTAGAGAAAGTATTTTTTTTTAGATGCATTTACTTTTAGAGCAATTGTTTTTATTAAACATATTTACTTTTAGTGATAGTATTTTTTTTTTAAGATACATACTTTCTTTACGCTTTCATGTAAGCATATTCTCCTTGAAAAATGACATATACAATTAAAAATGTTTTTTCTATATTTAACTAAATATTATTTATAATAGGTCGATAATATTATTTATAGTCCAATAATTGAGTTACTTAGATTTTTTGAGAAAGATAAGGAAAAATAAAAGAATAGCAATAAAAATGTTTACAACTAAAATAAAACAAAATAAAAAATAAAATAATACATTCTCATAAAAATTATAAGTAATCGATTATGTATAAAAAGGCAAAAAAAAAAAAAGAACATAACTTTTTTTTTTACATTTAATTAGAAAGTAATGATAATGCACATGCAAAAGGACATGTTATAATTCTGTTTTATATTTATTTATTGATACATTTCTAATCATAATGAAAATATATATCCTTGTATTTTCTAGGAAAAAATTCATTATATTTAATTAAAGATATATTTTTTTAGTTAATATTATAATTAACATTTTTATTAAATTTAATGTTTGTACTTATCATTATTAGTTACAAAAAAAAAAAAAAATTTATAAAAATATATTTATACAATATGTTTCATATAAAAAAGAATTTTATTCACAGTTTTTAGAATAATTAAGAAAGTAAATTTTCCAAAAAATAAATAAACCTTTTTTTTGAAACATGCTGTTTACTATATACATATGATTAAATAAATAGTTTTTTTTTTTTTTTTTTAAATTGTAATTAATTTATAGTGCTTTTTTATATGATATATTATTATAATTTCTTCAAAATAGATATGTGTTCACTTTTTCTTTTGAATTTGTGCATTTCATAATTTTTTTTTATTTTGTAAGAAGTAATTGAAAAAGGAAATTTTTTCAAAAAATAATTACGTATACATATATTATATAATTATGTGTTTATAACAAAAATAAAAAGAAAACATAAAGATAAAAAAAATATAATAGAAAAATCAAAATAGTTACATTTAAAGCAAAAACATGCACAATTAAAAATTAGTTTCATATATAATTAAAAATAACTACAAATATAGTATACAGTATGAAAAATACATGCATAGAAAAACTTTTAATTTATAGTGTTTTTTTTTTTCTTTTTTTATTTAATAGAGATATAATATCTCTAATATATCTAAAATTATATCTATAAATAACAAATACCATATATAAAATAATTTAAAGTTTAACCTGATTCACAGAAAAAAAACTAATAGTTAAACAAAAAAAAAAAAAATAAAAAAAAATTCAATGACATTAAATATATAACATTTATAGTTTTAATTTATTTCAAATTAACATTATATAGTTTTTTTATCTACCTTAAGGATGAATATAATTTTAATGAAATATTTTTAAAATAACTTTACATCTTTAAAATTTTTTTTCTTTAACTTATATACCTTATTATTTATTTTATTTTTTGAAAAATTAATAGTATTATTCTTACATAAAGTAAATGTAATATTATGTATAATTATGAAAAATTAAGAATTTCATTTCATATAAAAAAATAAATTTTTACCTTAAAAACTTAAAAAATTTACAAAAGTCATAATAATACTTAAAGCAATATTACATATCTCTAACTTATCATTAGTAAAGATAGAAGCAATTTTGTAACTGGATTAATATCTCTAACATTAATATTAAACTATAATAGTATTAAAATGAAAACCTTTACTTTATGTTTAAAAATTTTTACATTTCTTCTTTTAATTTGGATATTCCCTTTTTTTTACAAGGTAAGATAAAATTTATATAAAAAAAACACATATAAATATATTTTATTTCTAATCATTTTAAAAATTTTACTTAATTTATTACTATAACAATTGAAAAAAAATTAAAAAAAATTTTTTTTTAATCCCATAGTATGATTCCAGTAAGTCTTTGATTAATAAAGTTACATTAGAAACAAAAATTGGGGTAAAACACGAAAGAACGTTAGCAGAGGTTGAAATATCAGAAAAAAAATCATCTTATATTAAAAAACGTGTAAAACATCATCCATCTGATGAAAAGGAGATTAGACGTGAATATTTGGTTTATTTAATGGACATATATATTACATATTATAGTGCTAATATTATAACAAACATTGTAGAAGTTTTACTTAAAGAAGAAAATGAAATGATATATAAATATAGAGATAAAATATTGAATGCTTATCGAAATAATATTTCAACAGAAATGCAAATACCGCATCTATCACTGACTCATTAGTATCGTATTACAAATTGAAAAAGAAAAAAATTAATTGATTGAATTTCGAAAAATCTTCATTTGTATTATGAAAAATTTTCATGTCAATATAAAGAACAAGAAAAAATAAAATGAAAACAAGAAATAAAAAATTAAAAACTAGAAAAATGGATAAAAAAAAACTTTGTTAACCTTTATTAAATTAACAATTAATATATGAAAAGAAAATACTTAATAAGTCATGCACAAGTGCTAGTTAAAAAAAATCAATATTTTGCTTTACATTTTTTTATAAAATTATATTTTATTTTCTTTAAAGAAAAAAAATAAAATTATTAAAAGAGAAGAAATTTTTAGGAAGAAATATTTTTATGAGAATATTTTACATTTTTCAGAGTAAAATTTTCGCTGTTAATGATAATAATATAATTTAAATTTTTTTTGCTCATTTTAAGAAAAATGAACTTGAATATATGAAAATTATTAATTAAAAGTTATAAATGAATATTTTGTACTTAAAAATTAATTTTTAATGAAAATTTCTGTTATTAATAAAAACGTAAGATTTTTATTAAAGTAAATAAATTCTCAATAAGCTACATAATTTACATTTTACAGGTTTGTAGTATCGAAATTATATTTAAATTCATTAAATTAATAGAGAATGTTCGGCATTTTTTTTATTAATTTTTCTATTTATTACTTGATATATTAATTACTCGTTCAATGACGTTAGTAATATTAAAAAAACAAAATAATAAATAACACATAGAGAAAATTTTACTCATTTTCTTTTTTATTAATAAAACTATAATAAAAATTATTCACTTTCAATAAATAATATAAAATGATAATTCAGTTATTTAAGTATTATTGTTATTAATTTACACAATATGCCATGCATATCATGTTTTTACATTGTATTTTTAATCTTCCAAAATAATATATTCTAGATCATCTCCATTAAAAAAAAAAAAAAATTTTTTTTTGTGTAATAAATTATTTTTAAAAAAAAATAATAAAAAAAAAATTATTGTGAAAAGAAAATAAATTATTTTTTTTTTCCATGTTAGTGTTACAACAAAAAAAAAAATAATAAAATAAATCTATATTTTTTTTTCTTATATTTACTTTTAGAGAGAGTAATTTTTTAAGTGTATGCATTTATGTGTTCACCTTTTCGCAGCATACTAGCATGCTGATTTATTAACTGGGTGTTTAGTGACTTTTCCAGAGTACTAAAAAAACAAATTAATAAAGAGCATGCAGAGTTGTCTCTACGATTTTGACATATTTATATATATTTTTAAATACTTTGAACGAGTGATCCTTAAATATTTGATCTACCTCGTTCAGTGTTCTTTATTTTCAATAGCCATTTATTTACTTCAATAAAAATCTTTTTTTTTATTAATAATTTATATCCTTATTGAATATTATTATTGATTAAATGTATATAAATTATTTCTTTGTTATTATTTATGTCCAACAATTTAAATATATTGCTGTGAATTAACAAAGCATAAACAATTAGTAAAAATACAAAATTAATTATATGAATATTATTTACATGAAAATTTTCAATTTCTATGTATAAAATTTTCTCTTACAAAAAAAATTAATATCAAAAAACTATTAAAAAAATTATAAAATAATATATTTAAGTAAATATCTTTTTTGTTTTTAATATCTCATTCTTATTGGTAACAAATCTTTTTTTAATTGTTTTTTTAAACCATTTTTTTCTGGACATTCTTTTTTTTTAAGAAAAAAAAATATATATTTTTTTTTTTTATGTCCTCTTATTAATAAAAATAAAAACAAAAAAAAATTGATAATTTTTATTTTCTTTTTTTTTTTATTTGCGTATGAATAGCCAACTACGTATTATTCCTATAACTAGTCCTTTTTATTTCCAAAAATGTTAATAAAGACTTTTATTAACCAATACCTTATTACCTATTTATTATCTAAATAATTAAAAATTCTATAATGTGTATGCATTTATCTTTTTGCTTGTATCTCAAAAGAATCTTATCCATTTAGAAAATAAATTGGATTTTATTTTTTCATGTAGGAAGATTATCTAATTATGAGTTTTATGAAATAGTACATAGGACAGGTTAACAATGTCTTGCATAATACTTCTTAACATTTTATTAGGATTTTCTTTTATTAATTCGCTATTTATGTAATAATGTTAATTAAACTATCAAATTAATTAAGTTTCACAAAGTTCGTTATTATATTTTTGGTTCACTGTTTTCTATAGATTATAAATTATTTATATATAATTATGTTAAGTAACGTAAAATGAACAATTTATTTCATATAAAATTTAAATTCCTTAAATATTCGTTAATAAAAAACTTTATTAACCTTTATGTTAAAAAAAAGAACTAGTTATATGAAGAATACGTAGCTGTTCACGAACACGAAAAAAAAAAAAAAAAAAAAAAGATTTTTTTTTGGGGAGTGAGAGGAATTAAATGAAATATTTTTATGATGAATTCTATAAAAGAAAATTTTATACATACAACAATAAATTTTTCACATAATTAAAATTTATATAATTAATGTGTATTGTCACTAATTGTTTATGTTTATTAATTTAACAGCAATAAATATTAATTGCTGAACATAACTCATAATAAAGAAACAATTAATATTTATTAAATTTATGATCAATATTCAATAAGGATTTAAATTTTTAATAAAAATAAGGATTTTTACTAAAATAAATAAATGCTATTGAAATAAAAGAATGCTGAACGAAGTAGATTATAATTAAAGATCACTCGTTCAAAGCAAATAAAAATATATATAAAAACATCAAAACCGTAGAGTCAACTCTACATGCTCTTTATTAATTTGTTTGTTCAGTACTCTATCAAAGTAACGAACCCCCAGTTAATAAAACAATAATACATTTTATTGACCAACATGAAATTGCTAAGTAAAAAAAAAAAAGAAAAAAATTAGTTAATGGTTTTTTTTATTTTTGTAAATTAAATACATAAAGAAATAAATTTTTTCTTTTTTTAAAAGGAATTTAGTTGTCGAAAAATAGGAGAAAAAGTTATTGAATAACAAAGCTTATTGTGGTGTATTTTTATTTAAAATTACATAAGAAAATTTTATATTAACTATAATATAATTTTTGTGTATTGTAGTACTTACGTAATATAATTTGAATTTTATCAATTATTTATGCTAGTTAATTTGGGAGCAATAAATTTGAATTGTTAAATATAAATCATAATATAAGTAAAATAAATGTAATTAATGGTTTATTAATTTCCTATTCATTACTTTGCTAGAGTATTGAAAAAAAGGATTAACAACAAGCATGTAGAGTTTCTTCTACGATTCAAATGATTTTAAATATGTTTTTAATACTATAAACCATTGAAATGTATATGGTATCCTTCATTGAGCATTTATTGTTTTTAAGAGGCATTTAATTATTTTAATAAAAATCCCCATTTTTTATTAAAAATTTAAATCTTTATTAATTATGGTTTTAAATCACATATATTTTACTTATAATGTTATAATTAATGTTTAACAATTCAAATTCACTTCTGGCGAATTAACATATATAAATAACAAAACATAAAATAAGTTATACAATAATACAAACACGAAAATTTTTTATTGTTAATATAAAATTTTCTCTTTAAAATACAAAGATAAAAATTTTCCACAAAAAAACTTCTTATTAAGTTTTCTTCTATTTTTTAATAACTTGAATATTTTTTTCACATTATTCAATTCATTTTTTCTTCATTTATCTAGTACTTTCATGTCTATTTATTTGCCTACAGCTATTAATTGTTTTCTCAAAAAAGCTAAAAATTCCTTTTATTAACAAATCTTTAACTCTAATAATTCTCAATAAAGACTTTTTTTTTTTTTCCTTTTTGTGTCCTTTTTTTGTCATATAGATAAGCTGGTAATAATTCTGCATCCAACTTTTTTTCTTCTATTTTATCCTGTACATTTACTATCTGATTTATTTATTTCCATAAATTACATTTTTAATTTATTAAATTATCATTGAGTGAATTTGCTGGAGTAATGAAAAACAAATTATTAAAGAGAATATGGAGTTTTCTCAAGTAATTAAATGGATTTTAAATCTAATATCAATGATATAAAAAAATAAACTACAATAATGAGGTTCATTGTGAATTTACTTTGATAAAAATATGTATTTTTATTAAAAACATATATTCTCATTAATTATTAATTTTTAAGTACAAAATAATTATTGCCTTTTATGAGTAATTTTCAGTAATTTAAGTTCACTGCTTTTAAAAATAATAAAAATACATAAATAAAAAAAAAAAATTTTAATTATATTAATATCACATAACGAAAATTTTATTCTTAAAAATTAAAAAATATTCTTATAAAATTTTTTCTTTCTAAAAAATTTTTCTCTTTTAATTTTTTTTTTTTTTAAAAATTAAAATATATTTCTATAGAAAAAATTTAAACAAAATATTAATTTTTCCTTTTTTTATCTAGATCTTGTGCATGACTAATCCTATATTCTCTGCTAAATCATTAATTTTTATTCTCGTCAGGATTATAAAAAGAATTAATAAACAATTTCCAAATTTTTAAATTATTATTTTTTTTTTTAATTTTTTCCCTGCTCTTTCTTAAATTCGGATTATGTTATATTCTCTCTCATAACTTTATTAGATTCGGATTCTGTTTTATTGTCTGTCATCTCTTTCTTAAATTCGGATTATGTTTTATTGTCTGTCATCTCTTTCTTAGATTCGGATTCTGTTATATTGTCTGTCATCTCTTTCTTAGATTCGGATTCTGTTTTATTGATTGTCATCTCTTCCTTACATTCCCATAAAAATTTATCAAATTCTGAGTCAAATTCAATCATAAAACTATCAATTTTTTCGTTTTTTTGTTCATCTGGAATATCATGTCGACAAAATATTGAATATAGTTCATTAAATTTCTTATTTGAAATTATCTGAAATTCAACATTCCATTTTTTTACTTTCCATTTAGGGTCCATTCCACTTGTCCCATTTTTAAATCGATCCCAATATTTTGGAACCTTGAACTTAAGCCAATAATTGTACGGATTCTTGTAAAGATCCGGAAACGAACTTTCCTTTTTTTCATTATCTAAAGGACATTCTTTTAGACATTCCTCAGCGTTAGTTTGCTTTTTTTCTTCAGTGTTACCCTCTGTTAATATTCTTTCATATTTTAACTCATTTTTTGTTTGCAATATATTTTTATCAATCAATATTTTATGGGAATGACACTATGGATTAAATAAAAATTTTTTAAAAGAATGTTTCTTTTGTTAGTATAGAAAATCAAATGAAATGTTAAAAATAATTAGAAATAAAATTAATCTATATGTATATTTTTTGTAAAAATTTTAACTTACGTTATAAAAACATTGATACATCCAAATTAAAAGAAGGAATGTAGTAATTTTTAAATATGAAGTTAACGTTTTCATATTAATATATTTATAGAATAATATTGAAGTGGAAGTTGTTAATTCAGGTGTAAAATTGTTTCAATTTTCAATAATAGTAAAATATGGATTTGTAATATTAATTTATATATTATTATAACTTGTATAAATTTCCTAAATTTTTAAAATAGAAAATTATTTTCATATGAGAAATGTAATTTCTAATTTTTTATTATTATACATGATATTATAGTTGCTTTAGATAGGAATAATATTCTTAATTCTTTTAAAAATAAAATAAGAATGTTAATTAACAAATAATTAAAAAATATAATAAATAGGATTAAGTTATTTTAAAAATATTTTATTAAAATTTTATTGATCTTTAAATTATGTAAAAAAATTAAATATTTTCAATTTAATTCACATAAAAATTATAAATGATATACATTTAATGTTAAAGGATTTTTTTAATTTTTTTTCTAAATTACTAATCTCTGTGAATTATGTCGAACTTTAAATTATTTTATATAAGGTATATTATGATTTATAAATATAAATCTTCGTATATTATAGAGATATATCTCTATCAAAAAAAGAAAAAAAAACTCTATAAATTAAAAATTTTTATGCGCATGTATCTTTCATACAGTATACTACATTTGTGACAATTTTTCACTTAATATAAAACTAATTTATCTTTGTGTATATTTTTCTTTTAAATATAACTTTTTTAATTTTTCTTATATACTTTTTTTTATTTTAATTCTTTTTTTTTTAATTTTATTATTGATAAATGTTTATACAATATATGCATATATTTATTTTTTGTTATAACTATTTTTTAAAAAAAATTACTTTTTCAACTATTTGAAAAAAAATAAAAAAAATTTATTAAGTATTTAAATTCAAAAGAAAAAGTGAAGAAAGGCATTTATATAAATGAAATTATATTAACAAATCATGCAAAAAGCATATTTAAAAGTCATATAAATTAATCACAATTTAAAAAAAAAAAAAAATACTATTTTATTAATCACATATTTAAAGTAAAAAATATTTTTTAAAAAAAGTTTTTTGACAAATTTACTTTATTCTAAAAATATATTTCTGTAAATTTACTTTTTTACTAGTAATACTTATTAGTTTCAATTTTAATATAAATATTATTTATAGAATATAAAAATATATCTTTAGTTAAATATAATAGATTTTTTCTTATAAAATTCAAAAGAAAGTATTTTTATCATGTGATTTATTAACTGGGTGTTCGGGGACTTTACTATAGTACTGAACAAACCAATTAATAATGAGCATGTAGAGATGCCTCTACGATTTTTGTATATTTATGTATATTTTTATTTGCTTTGAACGAGTGATCTTTAATTATAATCTACTTCGTTCAGCATTCTTTTATTTCAAAAGGCATTTATTTATTTTAATAAATAAATCCTTATTTTTATTAAAAATTTAAATACTTATTTAACATTAATTATTAATTAATTATAATTACTAGTTTATTTATTATGAGTTATATTCAGTAATCATTTTATATTGCTGTTGAATTAACAAACACAAATACTTATTAAAAATGAAAATAAATTATATGAATATTAATTACGTGAAAATTTTATCTTCATATGTAAAATTTTCTCTCATATATTCAAAATATAAATATTATGCAAATTAAACACTTTACAAAAACATTATTATTTTTTTTTGTAAAAAAAAATCACTCTCTATCTAAAAAGAAAAAAAATTTTAAATCTTTTTATTTTTTTTTTTTATTTTTATCTTTCTTTTTCGAAAGGAACATTTCTCAAAAAAAAATTCCAATAATTTTTTTTTTTTTTTTTTTTTAGTTAGCACAACTATGTATTCTCCACATAGATAGTCCTTTTATAGCCAAAAATGTTAATGAAGCCTTTTATTAACCATCATGATATAAAAAATATCAATAAATAAAGATTAAATAGAATTATAAAATAACTTTTTGTATATATATTATTATAATCTTCTAATTAAATATAAAAAAAATAAATTTTTTTTTTTTTTTTTACATTTACATATTTATTTGATAAGTGTTGATTATTATTACGATGTGTTTATTTTCTTTTTTATTTTTCGTTATATATATTTATAGCACAATTTTTTATTTTTCATTTTACTTACGAAATTTAGGTAAATCATTTATATAGTATAAATGAATTCATCAATTGTCCCATTTTAATATAACTTTTTTCTTAAAAGTTTAAATTTTATGAGACATCTTTGTTAATATTAATGTAGAATTTTAATAAGAATTATTACTTTTTTAATTTAATTTGTTAGAACCTTTGACGTATTATTAATAAAAAGTGGTGTGCATAGATACTATTATTTTTAATATTTTAACACTAATTTTTCTCTAAGAAATAAACATAAATATAATAAAACTGCATTTTTTATGATTTATATTTTTTTAATATTATATGTAGAAGTTGTTATTACAAGTAAAAATATTTAAAATATAAAAGTGTCTTACATTTAACATAGATATTAAAATAATTTGAATAGATTGTGTATTGCAGATATAGAAACATGAATTATCCAAATGATAGTTCATGAAGTATTAAAATGATTATAATAATTATAAATAAGATAATATTCCTAAGGAAAAGAAATTATTTATAGCTCTGATTTATTAATGGCTGTTAAATTACTTTTCTCATGTCAAAAATATAAATTAATATGGAAAATGTTGTGTAAACACTACTTAATTTTAATATAATTTTTTTTTTTTATTAATAAACATTAAATATAACTTATTAGTTAATTATTTTTTTTTTAATATAAGCAACACTCCAAAATGTAATTTCCATAATATTACATTTTAGCTTAAAATAAAAATATACATTCTATAGTAGTCTGCACATTATCCTTCAAAAAAAATAAATAAAAAAAAAAAAAAAAAAAAAAAAAAGAATTTTTTTTTTTGGAGGAAAGGAAATGAAATATTTTTGTGATGAATTTTGTAAAAGAAAATTTTATACATATAACAATAAAATTTTCATGTAATTAATATTTATATGATTTTTTGTATTTGTCAATAATTGTTTATGTTTGTTAATTCGACAGCAATATATATTAATTGCTGAATGTAACTCATAATAAATAAACTGGTAATTTACAATTAATTAATAATTAATATTCAATAAGGATTTTTATTAAAGTAAATAAATGCCTATTAAAATAAAAGAATGCTGAACGAAGTAGAGCACATAGTTAAGAGTTACTCGTTCAATGTATATAAAAAAATATATAAATATACCAAAATCGTAAAGGAAACTCTACATGCTCTTTATTAATTGGTTTGTTCACTACTATAGTAAAGTCCCCGAACATCCAGTTAATAAATCACCATTTAAAAAAAATATATTAATAAATCATTTTTGTAGGTAACAATATATTTTTATTGTGAAACACATCTTGGTTTTAGCGTGTAATTTAACTCAAATTAATTAGTTTAAAAAATAATTAAATTGAATTTAAAAGTTTTAAAATAAAAAAAAAAAATAAAATGATTTTCTATTTATTTTGGTTATTAAATTCTTATATGTATATGTTTTAAAATATAGTAAACAATTTTGATTTAAACTTTGTTTAAAATGAATAAACACTTGTACTTAGATGCATATCTATTTAAAACACAAATAATAAGAAAAACTATACATTTTGATTATTAATTTATCAGTTCAATACTCTTATGAAGCTATTGAATGGGTAATTAATAAAACAGTTATATGTGAAATAAATTTTTAAAATAAATAAATATATTAAAAATCAAGTTATTATTTGTCTTTTAAAATAAAATGAATAGAAATTTAATAATAAAAAAACAAAAATCTTATTTCATTGTTTTAACTTAAATTTTAATTATTAATTGTTTCGATAATTAGTTCTATTAAAGCAATTTATTTACCATATATAAATATTTTATGGAAATAATAGAAAAAAAACATATTTTTTTTAAATTAAAATTAAATAAAATATAATTAAAAAAATCAATTGATAAAAAAAACATAAAAATTCTTTTTTTATTTAGGTAATATTTTATACGAAGATTATTCATGTTTTCTGTATAACGAAATATTATCTTATAAAATATTTATAATATCTTTTATAACGTAAGCATATAATCTAATTATTATACCAAATTTTTGTACATCAGAATAATAAGGAATACGTGAAATATAAAAATAAAATTTTCCTTATATCTTATATATGTAATTTAACCTAATGACTGTTTGATCCTTAATTTATTAATTCGATTTTCAATGACTTTGTATTTTATTAACTGGGTGTTCGGTGACTTTATTTGAGTACTAAACAAACAAATTAATAAAGAGCATGTAGAGTTTCCTCTAAGGTTTTGATGTATTAATTATATACATTTAATGTTAAAGGACTTTTTTTATTTTTTTTTTCTAAACTACCAATCTCTGTGAATTATGTCGAACTTTAAATTGTTTTATATACGGTATATTATGATATATAAGTATAAATCTTACTATATTATAGAGATATATATCCATCAAAAAAAGAAAAAAAAAATCTATAAATTAAAAATTTTTATACGCATGTATTTTTCATGCAGTATACTACATTTGCCACAATTTTTCACTTAATATAAAACTAATTTTTGTTTGTGTATATTTTTCTTTTAAATATAAATTTTTTATTTTTCTAATATACTTTTTTTTATTTTAATTATTTTTTTTTATTTTTATTATTGATAAATGTTTATACAGTATATGTATATATTTATTTTTTGTTATAACTATTTTTTAAAAAAAATTACTTTTTCAACCATTTGAAAAAAAATAAAAAAAATTTATTAAGTAATTAAATTCAAAAGAAAATGTGAAGATAGGTATTTATTTTTAAGAAATTATAATAACAAATCATGTAAAAAGCATGTTTAAAAGTCAAATAAATTAATCACAATTAAAAAAAAAAAAAAATACTATTTTTTTAATCACATATTTAAAGTAAAAAATATT